TGTACAGATGTACAATTATGCAGAATTTTTACTTTTCTCATTATGTTATATGCATCTTTTCTCTTATGTTTAAAGCCCTGCCAACAGAATAGAAGCAGCAGTGTATAATCACTAACAATATGATTACTAAAAACAATTTTTTTCCCTATTGGATATATCCCATTAGGGACTATACAAATTGCTATGTAATAAAGTTGCTTGAAATAATTCCTCTCTCTGTAGTTAAATTGATAACTCACTGTTACACCAAGTTCATTTATTTCATTTTGCTTTTCTATTTTGAGGGAGCTCCGGGGAGCCTGTGGGGCATTGTGCTGCTAACCCAAAGGCCCTGTCTCTGTGGTGGTTCAGATCTACCAGTGGCTCAAAGGAAAAAGATGGATAGTTCCCTTCCATGTATTTATATTCTCAGAAACTCAGTGGAGAGTCAGCTATGAGTCAGCTTTGACTCGACAGCAATGATGTTTGATTGAGTTTATTTCTTAAGATTGTAATTTTAATTTAATCCTTTTTAATAATTATGTAAAAAATGTACATGATTCCCAAAGCCAAATACATAAAACAAGGTAAAATCAGAGAGATATAGCTTTGATCCTCTTAATTTTGGCTGTTTATATCTTTTAGATAATAAATTTTAAAATCTTTTTGGTTTTTCTATATACTTAAAACCGTATTTAACCGTATTCTTATTCATATGTAAGCTCTTTTTAGATAAAAGATAACATATTATTTTACATGCTTTTTAAACTTATGTCCTTAAGATTACTCTGGAGCTGTATCTAGGTCATTTTGTTGTACAGCTGCATAGTTCTCTGTGAGGGATCTTTGGTGGTATAGTCTGTAGAGAGTTATGCTCCTAATCCAAAGGCATTCTACTCCCTTGGGGTAACTACTGTTCCAATTTGTATATCACCACCATTTGGTTTTACCTCTTGTAAATAATATTTAAAAACAAGGCTGGATATGATTATAAATGGAGAGAACATAGATAGTGAAAAGATATTCAAGCACTAAACTTTAGAGATTTCCAGTGTTTTGAAGTTGGGAAAATTGAGGAGAGAAAAGCAAGGGAACTGAGAAAAATAAAGCCTGAGAAGCAGGGTAAGAACCAGATCAAGAGTTTTCCTGGAAACAAAGTGAAAAAGCTTGAAAAAAGAAAACAGTGATGAACTGCATCAGATACTGCCCAGAGGTCTTGTAAGATGAAAATTAAAAATTGACCATTGGAGTTAGTGACAAAGAGATCACTAATGAACTTAATGAACACTGCATTGGTTGAGTGATAGGGCCTGGATGCCTGATTATAGATGGTTTAAATAAATGAGAGGAGAGAATTGGAAAGCAAGAACATAAGCAACTCTTTAAGAAACAAACGGGTAGAAATAGATAGTAACTGGACAGGAATATGAGTTCAAGAAATATTATTTTTTTAAAAGGAGTAGTATTTCAGTGTGTTAGTGTTCTGATGTGACCAGTTCAGTGAATAGGGGAAAATGAAAATAGTTGGGAGAGAACTGGTTAAGAGACTAGGTTGGCAAGAAATGATGGGGTTTAATGCACATATGTAACAACTGGTCGTAGGGGCACTGGCAGCTCAACAAAGGTAACGGGACGGAAAAGTAAATGAGTTTGCAGTTGAGACCATGCAAGAATTCTGTTTTTTCATGATACAGTCATCCTAAAAGTGTGGAAAAAAGAAGATTATCAGAGATTTTAGAAGTCTAAATCTGAATTAGTCTGAGAATGCAAGAGTTAATATATCATCATGTCAAATCTAATTTTCCTGACAACAGTTGTCTAATTCTGGATAAAGTATTACCTTAGTTTCTTCAATTAATAAATTGCATGTGGGAATAAACTTCTACTACTTAAAATACCACTTTGAGGACCCTGAGTGGTATAGTTTGGTACAAATTTCAAGGTACTTGGTTTAAATCTAAAGGTTAGTGCTTTGAAACCCATGCAGTAGCATCACAGCAGAAAGACCTGGCTATCTGCTTTCATTAAGATTTTCTGTCTCTCATAACTGGTCCTCCATTGGGATTCCAAGTCTGTAAATTATATGGGAAGAGATTGTCCATCTTTCTCTCAAAGAGTGGCTAGAAGATTCTAAGTTCAGAGTGGTTCTGCCTTTGGATTATCAGTGCAGCTCCCTATGGACTATACCAGCAGTGTTCCCTATCTTAATTAATGGAGTCTGCCCTTCTTTTTCCCTCAGAGTGGCTGGTGGATTTGAAATGCTGACCTTTTTTGGTAGTCGTCTGATATGTTATATACCATGCCACTAGGGCTGCTTGTAAAGATTATAGCCAAGAAACTCCTGTGGTAAAGTTCTATTCCATGAGTTGGAATTGGCTCAACAACAATAGATTTGTTTTTTAAAACTGTAATCTGAAATTTTTTAAATGAATGTTTAAAATCTGTTGGCGTTGTCTGATTATGTATATTCAGAATCTGGAATTGGATAGTGAAGTACCACATTTTAAAGAGAATTGGATCATTTTTTCCTGGTTTGCTATAAACCTCCAGGGACTCATTTGATAAATGTCCTCGCCAAATTGTTGAAAAGGTAGTTTTAAATATTTTTTAAGTTCTAATTTAGAATTTTGGTCTTTGTTGATTTGGCTGTGCTCAAAATGGAACAGGTTAAATCTTTTCATTATAGATTTTAAGATCTCAGATTTATTTTAAAAGTTCAAGTGTGGAAATTTTCTAATATTCAAGAAAATGACAAAGAATTATGAACTCAGATGTGCTTATTACCCATCTCCTAAACAATATACAAATTGATTTATAGAGTTAAATAATCTTTGAGAAGATAAACATCTAACTTGTCTTAATTCACTAATGAATAAGAACTTAGGTTCTTATTTAATTGGTTTCAATCATTAAGGAGTCCTCGTGGTGTAGTATGTGTGTTGGGCTACTAAGTGAAAAGTTGGCAGTTCTAATCCACCAGCTGCTCGATGGGAGAAAAATGGTCAGGCACTTTCTGTGAAGATTTAAAGCCTAACAACGTGATGGAGGGTCACTATGAGTTAAAATTGACTCCATGCGAGTGGGTTCAATCATTAATTGATAAAGCGAAAGTTTAGTGAGGGTCTTCTTTTCTCATTAATGAATAATGCCTGAGAGCCTTGGCAGGGGTGTAAATCCTAGCTTTGTTATTTAAAAGCCACTTAGCTTTTTACTAATAAAAATATTTAAAACTTAATTTTCTCTATTAATAAAATTGAGATAATGATAATATTTATATTACAGAATTATGAAGATTAAATGAGTTATGTACATTTTAGCATTGTATGCATTACATTGACTTGCTCTTATAAATGCTAGTGCCGGTCTTTCTCTTTACTTCATTATCTTTGTCATCAAACTATTATAGTAGATGCTGCTGGAGAATGAAAGGATTGAGATGTGAACCTTGACTTTGAAGAACTAGACAGCTAAAAGCATATAGTATTAGGGCCAGAACAAAGCTTCAAGATTATTTAATATGTTAAACTTAGAGGTTTAGTGGGTTGTTCAGTATCACATAGCTATTGACAGAAGTGAAGTTCTACTGACATGGCCCATAGCATGCTGTGTTGACAACCAAAAGACTGAGTTACTCAAGTGTGTTGACAACCAAAAGGCCAAGTTACTCAAGTGATTTGAATCCACCAGAACTCAGTGGGACAAAGATGGGCAGTCTCCTCCTGTTAAAGTTCTTCAGTCTTGGAAGCCCAAGGAAGAGTCAGAATTGGCCCAATGGTAAGGGAAAGTTTTTTTGAGATTATTAACAGAGATGAATAATGTTTATGTAGTGCTTAACATATCAGGCTGCTAACCAAAAGGTCAGCAGTTCAAACTCACCAACTATTCCATAGGAGAAAGATGGGAACTTTACTGTCACAGTGATTTATAGCCATAGAAATCTGATGGAGGGTGGCTATGAGTTGGGTTTGATGGTAGTGTTTGATTTTTGGGAGTAGAAGTGGGGTTATTATTGACAGAGCTAGGCTGAAACTTGGGTCTTATATCTATAATTGCCTTTTTTTATAGTATAGTTACTTTAATGCTTTATTTCTCTGTCACTCTCTCCTCTCCCCTCCCACCATCAAACTCTCCATTTGCAGTCAAGTTGATTAGTATTCATGAAGATCCAATGTGTGTCCAAGTAGAAATATGTTCCATAGAGTTTTCAATTGCTCATTTTTCAAGCCTTTCTTCCAGGGTACATTGGGTAGAATCAGACCTTCAACCTTTAAGTTGCAATGAGGGTAATTGCAATGAGGATAAATGGTTTGTGATACCTAGGGATTCCTCTTTAAACCCTGTTGTTGTTATGTGCCATGAAGTTGGAACCAACCCACAGCATACCCTCCAGCAGGTTTTCAAAGGCAGTAAATCACATGGTGGAGTAGCTGTGGATTAGAACTGTGTGCCTTTGAGATTGTAGCACAGCTTTTCTTACCACTTGGCCACCAGTGGTCCCTACCCTTTAAACCCTACAGGGTTCCCCCCCCCCCTTTTCTAAATCAATACAATTTCTCAAATTTATTTTTTTTTCCTTAAAGAAGTACTTCTAATTTCTGTCAAAAAGGAGGTGAGGAAAAGTCCTTCCTTTGTAAACTCTAAAATAAAGATTTGGGGATCCAGGTTCGATACACACAAAAAGTGTAGTTTACAAAATAATCAACTAAAATATATTTTACATGGATTATGTTTCCATTGATACTCTACCAGGTACATTTTCAGGTTTGGAAAAAAAAAAATTCCACATCTAAAAAACCCCAAATCTTTTTAAATTGACAATCCTGACATGTGGTTTGTTGGTTTTTTCCTATTCAGTGAACAAACATTATACTTGAGCAGTATACTTTCAGTGCTTATAACATATGTCTGTGGTCATTTCTTCTTAAGGTTCTAAGGAGAATTTTTTTTTTAGGAAAGGTGAGCCAGCTGTCTCATACACTGTATAATCACAAAGATGTTTTTATCTTCCTTCTGAATTACAGCCCAGGAATTAAAGTCACTATTTGAAAAAAAGTCCCTCAAAGAAAAGCCTCCGAGTTCTGGAAAGCAGTCGATACTGTCTGTACGCCTGGAGCAGTGCCCTCTGCAGTTGAATAACCCTTTTAACGAGTATTCCAAATTTGATGGCAAGGTAAGTAAAATGAGAACTTGTCACTGAGAAGGAAAACTCAACTGAGAGTGGTTGTTGTGTTATTTGCTTAATTTAAGGGTTTCAAAGATGCCTCAGCATAATTATTCAGAATGTTACATTTTCTGAGACTGTTGATGTAAAATGGTATGATTATAAATTAAGTTTCTTCTCCACGAGAATTTATTTGAAAAGATTGAAACAAACCCTGATTACTTCTTCTCACATTTAATCACTTAAATGTATTGATAATTTTGATTGAGTGGATATGATTAGTCAAGGTCTTAGTGTGCTGGATAAGGATGACAGAAGAATTGATGCTTTTGAGTTGTAGTGCTGGAGAAGCATATTGAACATACAATGGACTACTAAGAGAACAAATAGCTCTATATTGGAGAGGGTGAAACCAAGTTGCTCTCAGGAGGCAAGAATTTTGAAACTCCCATCTCACATTCTTTGGGCATGTAGCTAGAAGGGACCAGTCCTCAGAAAAGAACATCATGCTTGGAAGGGTGGAGGGACACTGCAGGAGAGGAAGACCCTGGATAAGATGGATTGACACTATGATTGGGGTTACGGGGGTAGGTGTATTGTTGTGAGTCACAAGTGACTCTGTGGCATATAGCAAACAACAGTTGTGGTGGAAAGGAGTTCTGATGACATAGTGTATTATGTGTTGCACTGCTTCCCAAAAGGTCAGTGATTAGAATCTACTAGTTGTTCTACAGAAGAAAGATGAATAGTCTTCTCCAGTAGAGTTACAGCCTGGGAAATCTGATAAAGGATTGCTGTGAGGCAAAATCAACTCAAAGGCAGTTGATTATTGTTTTTTAAAAAAATAACTGGCTTTGGAGGCAGTCAGTGTGATATCTGATTGTTATTATTGTAAAAATTGTTGAAGTTTTAGTTTCATTTCAGAATTTTAGGTCATTGTATTGCATTATATTACATTATTTCATTATAGGGAATCTGGTTTGATACTTGTTATATAGGAAGGCTATTTTTGTAACTGTTATTAAAAATTGGTGTTACAAAATTAAAGTGTCTTTATTTTACATTTATAAGAATGATTATATTTCAGGTGGAGTATAGTTCTCTGTGCATTGAGACTCTTCCCCTCTATTACTTGACATTCTGTACTAAGCTAAGAAAGATCTGTTTCAGGAGACAGTAACAGTTGTTTTTTAATATTTATTGCCATTATGTTTGCTGTTTGGCAGTGGTGTGGGGTTGTTAAGTGATAGGTTGTTGCTTGCAGTGATTATTTACAATTTGTCTTATTTCTGTTAAATTGAAAATGAATAAACACTGAACTCTTTTTGCTTACATTTTCCTTATTTTGAAGCTTGCTCTCTCAGTTGTGATCTTTGAACAAGGAAATATTTTCTCATTGACATACTCTTACTTCACACAAGTGAGCATGTTTCCATAAGTTTGTTGTTCTCATGTTGGAATTGAGCATAGCTGATCCCCCACCCCAGCCAGAAATTCAGAGGCTGTAACTCATACAGGAGGAGATTGCTCATTTTTCTTCTTGGAGCAGCTGATGGATTTGAACTGCCCGCCTTTGTATTGGCAGCACAGTTTTTACCACTAAGCCACCAGAACTCCTATAGTTTTAAGCAGACATAGATAGCCATCAGCATGTGGTATTAGTGATATTTATGGGGACAAAGAGCAAGAATTAGAACACAAAATGTGTAAATGACATAATAGTCCTAATATACTTGACAGTTTCCTCCAGAAAAATCTAAGAATACTTTTAATAAGTTATAGGTATTGATAGTGGTGTAATAATACATCTTATTTGGTCTGATTTTTTTTTCTTCGTTCTTTTGGTAGAATATAGCAAAGAAAAGGAATCTTCCATCTGTTCACTGTGATTGTCAACCTATTTATGTATTAGAACTTGAATTAGACTGTAGAATTTTGTTAATACTACAATTGTGAGAAGCCATTATTTGGATTAGATTAGATTAGATGGCTGGAATCTATTCCCATTGCTTGATACCACCTCATTGTTTAAGAAAATTATTACAGGAATAACTAATGTATAATAATAATAATAATATGTAGAACAGCTTATTTGGGAGGCTGGTCTTTAGGAGGAGGAATACGGCATCAGAATTGGAAGAAGACTTACCAATTTGTGTCATGCTGAAAACATAATCTTGCTTGATGAAACTGAGGAAGACTGACGTGTCTGCTGCAGTAGGTCAAGGACTGAGTCTTCAATATGGATTCAAGCTCAGTATCAAGAAAATAAAGATTCTCAACACTGGGCCAGTTGACAACACCATGCTAGATAGAGAAGAGATTGAGATTGTTGACACCAGCAGCCAGGAAATCAAAAGATGGATTGGATTAGTAAAATCTACTGTCAGGGACCTATCCAGAGTGCTGAAGAGCAAAGGTGTCAGTCTAGAGACTAAGGTGCACCTGATCCAGGCCATGATCTTCACAGTTACTTGCTGTGCATCAGAGGGCTGGACAATGAATAAGCATGAAAGAAGATTTGATATCTTTGAGTTGTGGTGCTGGAGGAGAGTACAGAATATACTGTGGACTTCCAAGAGAACAAACAGGTGTGTCCTGGAGAAGGTGAAATCAAGTTGCTCTCTGGAAGGAAGGATTTTGAAGTTCTGTATAAATCACTTTGAGCATATTTCCAGGAGAGACCAGTCCTTGGAGAAGGACACCATGTTTGGAAGGGTGGAGGAACGACACCCTTGAGATGAGATGAGATGGGTTGACACAATGACTGGGGTAGGAGGGGATGATGTGTCACAGACAGTGAAACTGGCTCAGGATAAGGTGTGTTCAGAGTCCCAGGCACATAACAACAAACAACAACAACAGTAGTGTTGTGATGACAAAATCAATAGCATCGATCTTTAAAATTATTTTAGAATTCTAATTGTGGCCCTAGACTCTAGAAATTAGTTGGATTTGGATTTCTCAGAAGGTTGTGAACTATAGTTGGTGTATATCTAGCTTCTGATACGACAGGGAGAAATTTAAAAGAGTTCCCGGGTCACAGAAGGACTTTTTTTTGGGGGGGAGGCAGGGAATTATTTTTGTTAGATGTAAATTTCATTTTAGATACTTAATGCTTTTGTCATATCAGGTATATAGTATTTGTAATCAGTAAAAGATGTGAGCATGGAGCAGCCATCATTACACATTGATTAAGAAAGATTTACATATTGATAAGTCTTATCTTATGAAGGACACTATTTTATTCTACATATTACAATTGTTAAAATACAATTAAACCCTTGTTCCCATCTATTATTTAATATTGATGCATTTAGCAGATATATAATGAAAGTGGCTAATATTTGAAGGATATTGTACTGTACATATTAAATTAGTCTTTCTTTATCTTTGTGAAATACATCAATATGATAGTCAATGACATCTCAATGATTAATAGTGAATTATACTCGAGTCAAGCCTTTTTGTAACCTAGAAATTAAAATGACTATTCAAATAACACCTCAAAATGATCAAATTAGCATTTTGTGATTGCATAATAATGGGATTGTAGTAGTTATAACAGCACTACGGCTGCCTCTAGAGTTAAGATCATGTCAACCCCTTGATAATAAAGCCTTTTCCTTTAGAGTCAACTTTAATAATTTCCAGATTCATTCTCCTCATAAATCATTTGACATTTAGCACTAAATTTTTGTTACTGTTGTAATTTTAAATTATTTTATTTTTATTCAGATCATATTTAAGAAGTGAAATGAATGTCCTGTTTTAATGATTCACCATCTTGTCATAGAGTTTCATGCTATGTGCCTCAAATAAAGGCTTTTCCTGTGCTCTGGTGGCCTTATTATTAGTAATATTTTTGCAAATTTAAAGCTACTGTGATATGTAGAGCCTTTTTTTTTTCTTCTTACAAATATTCACAGTGCCTTTCTTGGGGATAACATTTGCCTTATTTACATAATTAACTGAGTTGCTTAGGTCTCTTGGGCAAATGGTACTTAATTGGGGAAAGAAGGGGACATGGAAGAGTTTGGGGTCTAATTAAATATGTTAAAAAACTACTTAATTATGTATTTCCTCTAGAGACTAACTGCTGTGAATCCTCCTTAAGATTAAACTATCGTTAAATATGAAAGAAGGATTTTGATTTTGAAAGACTTTACAATTGTGTTTTCATTAAAGTGAGCACTTATAGTGTCTTTTTTAACACTGTGCAAACTGGTTTTGGCAATTCCAATGATAAGTGTCTCTTAGCTATTCCAAATTCTTTTTAGTTCCTGCGGCTGGTTGAGAAGTAACTACTACATTTAGGTGTGTGATTTCTTGTAATTTTGACAAAAATTTTTCAGCAAGTTTATAATTATATGTACATTGTTTCTTTGGTTAAATTTGTGTTTCTGTGATGTATTTTAGATTTATAGATTATTAAGACCTGTTTACTGATCATATTGGAAAATTTCAAGGTAGATTGTAGATTGGTTTTAGGGAATGACTGGACAGATAAGGCAAAACCAGGCTCAACATGTACCTGGATTCGTTAGTGTTTTTTAAAACAAAACCTCCAGATGGTGTCATTAGTAAAACAATACCTGTATTAGAGATGTAGTCTATCAAATAACTTCTTTTACCTATCCTTTTAATTTTTCCATGTAATGGAAATGTTGGTTATGATAGGGCAAAGGGAATCAGTTAGTGACTTAGGTGAGGAGGGAATGTACTCCATTGAACAGTAAATGGTCAGGACTGGTTTAAACTGGTTTAAATGCCCTGGAATATATGTGAATTTCTATCCCCCCCCCCCCTTTTTACTGTTTTACAGAATGTTAATGTTGTTTGTTTTGGGTTGGTTTTTTACAATTTATTTTTTTATGAGTGAAAGCTTACAAACCATTGGGGTGGGGGTGTGTTTTGGAGTTTTTGTTTGTTTTTCTTGTTGTGTACCGTCAAACCGAATCTGACTGGCACAGGTGGAGATTGCCCCTCCTTCTCCAGTGTAGCATCTG